GTGCGGCAGACGTCAGTCTTCCTCGGCGCACTGCGCTGGGCCGCTGGCGAACGGTATGACGTCGGTGGGGGTGGTGGTGGCGGTGGCGTCTGTCGAAGGAAGTTCAATGGGGCGGCGTTTTGGCGTGGACGGGGAGGAGCGTTGTGGCGCACTGCAGTGGCGTAGCTCATACCTTCCGGCTCGGGCAGCGGTGCTTGGGGAATTCGAAGCGATTGCCGAACTTCTTCTCGCACAATGTCGGCAATTGAATCCACTTGAGGCTGCGCCGAAGGCAACAACTTGCACAGCTCTTTCCGCACGATCGCTCGGATCGTTTCACGCAGGTCTTCGGAGTTACTGGCTTGATCAGCAGCGCATTCTGGAGTCAGGCGACGATTATACTGTCTGGTGCGCATGTCCAGGGTCTTTTCGATAGTGGTTGCTTCGGCTACAAATTCTTGGACGGTGTTCGGTGGATTTCACATCAGTCCCGCGAAGAGCTCCTGTTTGACCCCTCGCATGAGGAAACGAACTTTTTTCTCTTCAGGCATGTCTGGGTCAGCGTGACGGAATAGGCGAGGTCATTTCTTCTGTGTAAACGGCGACACTTTCATTTGGTAGCTAAACCCGGGTCTCTAATAAAGCAGCGGCCCTCTCTTTGCGAGCGACGCTCGCGGACGTTTGCAGGAATGCGCCGCAGAAAACATCCCACGTTCGGAGCGTGGACTCCCGATTTTCGAGCCAGGTCCTTGCGGTGTCTTCCAAATAGAAGAACACACGACGGAGCTTTTCGTCATAGTCCCAGTGGTTGAGGGCGACCACCGAGTCGTATGTTTCTAGCCAGGACTCCGGGTCTTCGAACGATGATCCATAGGAAAATTGGTGGTTCCCTGGGTTGATGCATGACTATCATGGGCTGGGACGCTGCGGTTGTCATTGTCACTGCAGTCGTGGTCATGGCCTTGGTCTTCCGCGCCTTGTCTTGTAGAAGCCCGTACTCCGGTGGTAGCCCTTGCTGCGGCGGCTTGTTCGCTGTTCCTGGTTGGCGTCGGTGTCTTCTCCGCGACGTGGGCAGGGTTCACGGCTTGACGGAGGTGTCCGGTACACGAAGGAAGCAGCACCTCCACCAAATGTCACGGGGTCGTGACGTGGCCGAAGACAGGAGACTTTATGTTGGGATTTAACTGTTTATTTGGGCGAACCTGTGCCCAGTAAACGGAAAGTTTGATTGCAGTAGCAGTCTTGCACAGATAACAGTGAACGGAGCATCGACCGTCAATCAACTACTGACAAGCGTCGAAGCGCGTCGGCATTTATACTCTTGCCGTCGAATGTTCCAGCGTTATCGCTGGCGATGGCGTAGGTTCCAGAATAATCTGTACAGTTCGCAGAGTAGGCGTGATCTTATCGAAATGATCTACTGCAGTCCGGAAGTTTCTCGAAAACTGCAGGCGCGGTTTGCGCTGAGAATTGTGTAATGTTTTGGGACGATAACAAAACTTGGGAAATGGAACGTGGCAATATAGCCAAACGTGAACATGTCAGCGGAAAAATTGCAAATCAGAATGGCAATATTTGGCTACAAAAATGTGTCTGCCTTTTTCGTCTTCGGCTGCATTTGAGCTTTGCTTTCTCTTGGTTTTGGCGACGCCACCTTGCCCAGACTGTCAACATCGGTTTGGCTACATTTCTCTGAATTTCTAGATTCAGTGGCACACTAGACAGCAAAAAAAAAAAACGATCCTAAAAAGCGCAAATTAGTAAAGTACTCCTTCAGAATACAAAGGAAGACACGTTAGCTGCGAGAAGGTGCTCGGGAAACGAAAAATGCGCAAAAAGAAACTGTAGATGTCGACACCCTAGAGTTTCCTAATGCACACTAGAAAGAACTTTGGCGCTAGTGTCTATGGGAGCTGCAACACACGGCGCTTCAGCGAGCATGGGAATGATGGGTAGTACACACATTTGTCTAATATTCGTACTTGTGGCCTGCTTCTAGCTTCGTGTGTGTTCGTGTGGCTTGAAGTTGTTTTTTCACGAAACAAATATTAGCAAATGTTCAGCGGTTGCGCTTCAGCATCTTATTTTTTTAGACTTACCTTTCGAAATCGGGTCATGAAATTCAAAAGGGTTGAATCTTTCTCTCAAAACAAAACCGAAACACAGCAATAAACGAAGCCGCAAGTACCATTCGCCGTCTGCAAGTACGCAGACTACTCAAATGTGTGTACTACCCAGCAATCCCATGGTCGCTGAACGATCGCAGCGCCAGAGGGCCCTCTAGTTAATTTTGGGAAACTCTATGGCCGACACCACCTTGATATTTCCGCTGATGGAACCATTATGTCAATAATTTTGAAGCGTCTACTATAGGCCAACGTCGTTCCGAATCGGGGAACATGAAGCGCTTTTTTTTTTCTTGGAGAGCGAGTGATTCAACATTCCAAAGCGCAAGCAATTAGTTGCGCCAATGTTCTCAAACAACGAAGTAATACTTCGAAATCAATGACTTCAACGAGAGAGATGTCGTGGAAAATTTTGAAGGGAAATAGTGGCGTTTATTTTCCGTCTTCTAATAAATCTATGGTTTTTATATTATTGATAGAAGTTTTCAGCGCATACTGAGTTTAAGCTAGCTTATTTTTTCACTTTAGTGTCCCTCTAAATACTCCGCAGGAGTACATCATAAGGATTGAAAAGGGGCCAACATAGACATCTTGGCCTTCGAGGTCTGAAAATGTTCTTCCTGCTTGATCATCAAGGCCACATGAAGGTTATCGCTAACTAAATGATGGTAGCTTCATGAGAACAGTAATTGTTATGAAAAATTGTTGAAAATGTCTATTTTAATAGTAGATGAATAAAATATACTATTACAAACGGTTCTATAGGCACGTTGCCCTTTCATACACCGGCTTGCCGTTCAGTCACTGTGTGCACAAAATACGGGAAAATCTTAAGCGCTCGCTTTATTGGTATACGTTAAACCAAACTAATGAACAAAACAGCTAAGGAAAGTATTAGGGATGTCATTTGTCGTAATTTTGACGCAAATGTGAGTTAAGGCAAGTGGTCCAAAAGCTAACTTTTCGCTCGAAGGGACAAAACCTGTGACCCCCGAATGACCCGTCTGATGCTATACCAACTAAGCTATCATACCGGCCATCCCGCCGTCAATTTATTAATACTTATGCAGTAGTGGCTACCCAGCAAGTGTGCGTATAGCAGTCACCCGAAGAATAGTTAAAAAAAGCTGTAGAAAAGCTGATGTTCCAGCCTTCGCCGTCATTGTGCTGTGCGTTCCGCGCAGGCCTGGCGGTTTTGTGTGCCCGTTGGCATCACTTGGCACGTAATAATACAACCTTGCAGTGGACCAGTAATTTCTCAAATACTATATGAAGGCATCAAGTCTGCAACGGGACCATCGTTATCAATGAATAGGAGGAAGGTTATTTTTAGAACTGGTTTTTTTCATATAGTATTCATTTGGGTTTGCCTAATATCTAATAACCGCAGGTCGCGGGATCGAATCGCGGCTGCGGCGGCTTCAATTGCGATAGAGGCGAAAATGCTGTAGGCCCGTGTGTCCAGATTTGGGTTCACGTTGAAGAGCCCCGGCTGGTCGAAATTGCCGGAGCCCTCCACTACGGCGTCTCTCATAATCATATGATGGTTTTGGGACGTTAAACCTCACTTACATATAAATCATATCTAATAACGTCGAATTTCAATCAAGGCACTGTCTCCAGTCATATTTCCTTCCGCTTGTGCACATAATAGAGAGAAAAGTAATTGAACAGGACTTGTTCGCGGAACCAACATTTGTACAAGCAGTCGTTCCTTCTTCAAGACTGGAGCGTGAAGAAGAAATACTTGTTGAAACATTGGTTAATTTCAGCAACAGGCACCTGTTCAATGTTCTACTTTTTTTAGATTGAGAAGAGATACCTGTCAGCCTGAGCCTCGTATAATCGATATATGATAGATGCAACCCTTCAGCATGGAACTATTTGATGCAAAATGTATGCTCAACCTGTCTATTGAAATGTTCAATCTGGTTATTAAACATATTCATGTGACCCGAAAACAACGTTCCTCACAAAAATTTGCTGCGGTATTTTCGCCGTACCTTCGCCCCGAACATGCAGCCACTTTCGATGCTGTTTGTTTATATTGTATGTTTCAATTGCTGAGCCAGGTTACCATACCGATTGAGGGCTGCAATCATAATTCATAGCTATGGCAAAGCCTTTATTGAACGCAAAGCCTTTCCAAGCAAAGCTCGAAATAAACAAGACAAACTTCCCACTGAAAGCAACCAAACGCCAAGAGATACCTGGCGCCGACTCCAGCTGCATATTTGCCCACCCGCATTGTTACTCGCCTATCTTCCGAGACCTCAACACTTCCTATTGCTCGCTTACACGAAGAATTATCTATCTTCTCCCATATTCTCTGCTATTGCAGAAAGGCACTCTCCTTCACCCTAAACTCATATTCATTGCATTACCTGAGATATGGTCTAGACAGTTCTGTCCAACAAAGCCCGGTTCCAGCTTCGAGCCATGAAGAGATGTGGGGAGCTGACTGGCAGTAATGGTCTTCTAAACTACCTACCGTTAGAGATGACTCTGGGGTCATAAATGTTTTCTTTGGTTTCCCTGTTTTTGAAAGTAGTCCAGATGTGCGTCATCTTTTCATCCTTCAGTTTTCTTCCCACAGCTCAAGATATCTAACGCTTAAGCGTACATTTACCCCGACTTCATCATTATTCTACTGACGTTCACCTGCATTTCTTTTTAGCTAACTCAGTCGCCTTCTCCTGCTCGTCATGCTTTTCGCTCCAGATTGCATAAAAAGGCATTGCGAGAAGTGCGTATGTCGTTATGTAGAGTCACGAATGATAAATAATTATTGGGAATGTTTATTTTCTTTTACGAAGGAGGAAATTATGTAAAGCTAAACAATGCATATGTCTTATTTGATCACTAGAAGTGGTTCCTTATTTTTTCTTTCTCCAGCGATCCCGTTTGGAGATGTGCAAGAAGTCATTATGGGCAATGTGGTCTCTTCTGGTGCTGGCCAGGCTCCAGCAAGGCAGGCAGCTCTCGGAGCAGGTAAGTTTACTGCCACGCACGTTTATTTTCCTTCTTTTACGTCACCAGCACGTTACACGTTCTAGAGAACTATCATACCCCGTAAAGTGGTTTTTGTCTCATAGAATTTGCACGTGGTGTTTATGGCCTCTGAGACGTTGGGTGCTGTTTCTTGGTCTAGATTAGGCTACAATGGCGCCCTATTCTGTCTTCTCCTTTTTTCTTTGTTCGTCACACGCCCCAAATACTTTATTAAAAGATGGCGGGAGTGGGCGCTGTTTCTCTCCGGCCGTCTCAATTGCAGCCCTCTCCAGTGAACCCAGCGAGTATCACCTCACGCGCTCGGCTAGCGTGAAAGGGTGCATTCACTGTAGATTCCGGCGGTGGTGGGGACTGCGGCAGAAAGCAGATTGCTAGGATTCCAGCGTGCTCTTGTATTTTTTTCTTTTCGCGTATGAACGAGAATCAATGCAGAAACATTTTGTGGTGAAGACTAATATTTTTGTCTGTTACTGCATTTATTTTGGTCCAATTTACGTTTAAAGGCAAGACAACTGCTAATTTTTTATATATCATTGTAAGTAGCTATGAATCAGTGTTACGGAGCTGCCACTCCGGAATTGCATTGAATCCGGAATCACTCCATATTTTCACGACACCAGAATGGAATGGGAATGAAATGATGACAAAGCTTTGAGGAATTGAACTGGAATGGAATTGCGCGCATTATCCACGGAATGGATTGGGAATGAGATTACGTCTTTCTCCGAAAACAGAGCACATTTCGTCGACGTGTTGTTTTTGAAACTTCAAACATCAATAAGTCAGACCCTCGAATTCAACAATGAATCACAAATTTAACAACGCTTGGCAAATTAAAAACACGAGAGTTGAAATGCATGCTTTTTTGGTGATGCATTTGAAAGAATTTCTGTTGCGCGAGGCGAAGTGTAAAAACAAAAGTGATAGATGGAGAGGAGAAAGCGCTACTAGCACCATCATGTTTATTTTCGAACACCAAGCCTTTTTTAAGCCATAATCGCCAGGCCGATAAAAAGCTCGTGCGTAACAATGTCGTCTACCTAAAAAAAAAAAAAGAAAACATCACATATAAAACCTTGCAACACCACGTACGTAGGAACCCCAAATCTTTGGGTGACAATGCATACGAAGGCTCGCTGATACAGATATCGCCCAGAGCGTAAATTCTAGGTCGAAGTGAATATGAGATGACTCATATGCTCATGGAAGCCAAACTTATTATTTGTGGGAAGAACCTATTGTTTGTGGGAAGTTATTATTTGTGGGAAGTACCAGGTCGATTATAGCTCGTGGATTGTTAAAGGGAAAGTGGAAAGGAATATAGCTAGCTTAAACGCATGCTTTAGACTATAAATGATATTCGCATGTGTAGAAAATTATATTCCGTTTAGCGAAACAGCACCCTATAGCTGTTGCCTTGTAGTAGAGTTTGCAGTCAGGCTAGTTGGAGAGAGATAGAAAATTTTATTATATATATATATATATATATATATATATATATATATATATATATATATATATATATATATATATATATATATATATATATATATATATATATATATATATATATATATATATATATATAGAGAGAGAGAGAGAGAGAGAGAGAGAGAGAGAGAAAGAGAGAGGTAATAGGAGGGAGATGGCCCACTGCGGGCCTCCCCTCACACACACTACGTGAGCTCCTCGTTACAGAAGTCCATACGGCGCCAATAGTCAGACATGCACGAAGAAACAGACGCGGACAAGCACACACTTGCAACTTTAATTCTCCGAACAGCTTTGCCTCGTGAATATCAGAGATGCGCAAAATACCTAACAGAGTAAACTATCAGGACTTCAGCAACACTGCTTCCTGAAATCTAATCAAAAGTGGTATTGCTTCATATATTTAAACCGCGATAAAATGTCAAGTAGGCAGGAGGATGAGGACAGGACATGACCGTTCTTCCAAGGATACGACAGTTTTCTTCAACACCGTATGTACACGCACACATCCGGTCACCTAAAATGGGGTGTTTAGTAGCTGTGCTACTGGACAGGTGGTTGGGCGTCCTCAAATGTGAATGAACAAAAGGCGAAGGCCTGAGGTCCCTGTATTTTTGTTAGACTCACGAACAAACATTAACACATGGTGGATTTTCATTTGTTTCAGGTCTTCCACTATCTACACCATGTACAACAATAAACAAAGTTTGCGCTTCAGGGATGAAAGCAATCATATTGGCAGCTCAGAGCCTCATGTGTGGATCTCAGGTGAGTTATGTGGGGTAAATATAAAATACTACTTGAAAGAAACAATTTCTTGTGAACGAAACGCAATATACCGGGGAAGCATATCACTTCGAAAGAGAAAACGGCCAATGATATTAATTGCAGAAGTCACTGAGTCACATTGTCTAATAGCTCTTGAGTGGTATGAAGAACGATGCATCAGAGCCATTTACCCTCAAAAGAGAAAAGGTATTATCCACATGAAGCGCAAGGCTATACGCGAAGATAGCTGCCTAATGAATGCACAAAATAAAAAAAAAAACTTGAGAGCACCAAACAAAAGCGTTAGGGTGGTCAATAAATAAAGAAAATGTATACTAGAGGCGCGACAGAAATCTCGAGCTAGCCGATCTTAAGACCAAAATTAAAAGGAGGAGGTTTTACTTACGCTCTCGAAGATGTCCTCAGTGCACGCACAAAATAACTCCGTATATACCTCTCACGTGGTCATAAATTGTATCATCGTGTAGTTTATACTAGCGTGATGAGGTAGAAAATGGTTCAGTATTTGTGCATCTTTACCGTAACAAATGTGTCCTGGTTCCCAAGAACGTAATTCTTACGACAGCACTGATTTTCGCGTGAGTTTTTTTCTATAGCAGAACACTTAAGCGCATGCACACAACGGACATGTAAATGAAGGTGATTACAGCACAAAAGCTTACTTTTACCTTGTAAATTCTTCACAAAATGGCGCAATAAGGACACTTCCTTTCATGAAGCAGGTTGGTAGGCCTGAAGCCAGCATTAGAATCGTGTGACGTCATCAAAGAAAGTTTTATGCTGTTTCTTAAGTAAATGATCAGTTGAAACAAGCGTGAAGCGCGAAACAAGATCATGATGAAACAAGCGCTAAAAATACACACACTCAGAGTGAGCGCTAAACGTTTGTCTGTGTCCTCTCTGAGTGTGTAAATTTTCAGCGCTTGTTTCATCATGATACATATACATGTCAATACTGTGTTATGACTGCACCTTAAGTACAATTTTTGGCACTCTCTGAGAGCTTCTACACAGTTAATGCCAAAGTGCGAAAGCAGTGTATTATCAGTTTCATGTTTCTGTTTCTTTTTGCTGCCGCGGGTAAATTCTCGTGAAATGAGCGCTCGTGCTTTCGGTTATGGCATTAACGTCGCTCGCGGGTACTCCATTAACACCGCAAGTTTCGACGGATTTCAATTAGCCTCAACACGAATTGTCGGGTGATGGTTGCAGCAACAGACACAAGAGATGAATTCGACTCATCAAGCTTTATTGCGTACAGCGATTGTGCGCCAAATCACTTTGGAACATAAGCAAGTATCCACAGGTAAGCTCTCTCTGGTTGGGCGGTTTCATCACTGCCGCGCCATTATGTCAACGTAACCGATGCGTTGTGAAGGTCACAGCTGTTGTTGCTATTGTATGCAAGGTGAAAGCTTTGTTCGGGCATGGCAACTTGGCGCCAACTTCAGAAAGAGCTGAGACCCATTGGCGAGCGAGACGAGGAGTGGACCTTGACGGACTGTTTCGGAGTACCACGCGGCGGCTCCTTAATCTTTTTTTTTTACAGTGAAAGCTGTATATGGCTGGACGAAACAACAAATCCTTCGCCTAGAAGAGTGCTAAACGTCTTCATTGGCTGCGTCACTTACGTCATCATGTACGTTGCACGCAAGCGCGGTCGCCATTCGTAGTGCCGTCAGCAGCGCCATTGGTTTCTTCACTGCCGTACTTCTGAGCCCGCGCGCAGCAGTTTCAACGAAGTGGCTCTGAAAGACAGGAAAAAAGAAGCGAAAGAATTAAAAGACACATTTCAAACTACTAAGCGTGTTGGGCGTGTGTCACTGCCCACTGAGATGGGGTTGTTCAATATTTCTCACACCTTAGTCATAGTGAAACAGGTTGCACTCGTCTTTCTTCTTGCATGATTTGCCACGATGGGCACAATTATGCTACGGAAGCAAAACGAGAGTGCTGTATAGTATGACGTGAAGCATGACCGACGCAACCAGCGCCCATCCGTCGGCGCGCCTCGGTGGCCACCTGCTACCATTGCAGGGCCCAAAAGGAGGGACAGACAGATGTGAACATGAGACATTAAAGTCTTTCCCCCTAAAGCGCAGTGCGATCTCTCTGGGAAGTCCCCTCAACCTCGCAACAGTCCAGCGATGAGGAATGGGAGAGAAAGGAATGTAGGAGAAAAGACAAGTAGATTGTGAAAAAGTATATAATTCGGCTCCGCCCTACCCGCGTGCGCGTCTTCTCTCAGCCAAGGAAATCCTTGAAGCAGGTCAACAGGGAAAGGAGGGATGTAAACAAGAATCATGTGACTAGCTCATGGGCGCGTGAAGTGTTCGACGTCGCTGGTAGGTTCAACTTATAACATTCGCACGGAGAGTCAAACTTCCAAGAACAGGGCCGACCGTTGGTAAGTCAGAGAATTCATGTTCGCCGGGCCGTTAAAGATGTCCGGGCTTAAGAAACGGACTCAGCTGCGAAGTGAAAACAGCAACTGCACACTGAAGATGCCGCAGCCTTCCATGCCGAACGCAAGCGACAACAGTGAGCTGAGGAAACGTCGTTGTACGCAGAGGAGCGTCAACGACACAATCGGCGGGAGTTTACGACTTCAGCTGCGACGTCTGCAACCACCTGTGCCCGCAAGTTCCAGCTTCGCGGGCTAAGCACACGTACGGAGTGCTTGGGTGGTGATTTTCAAGTGCAGAGCATCTCTTTGCGAACTTAGGTGACATTGACCATACCTACCTATCAATCTAGCCACCTGCGACTTTCAGCTGTCCTGGCTGTTTCTTATAATGTGATCTATACCAAAATTGATATTGCATATCATGACTGTATGACGAGCATCAGTGACTAGTAATGACATAAAAATCATGCCATGTATGTCATGATTTACATGTCACAGTCTTGCTGCTCTTGCGGTGGTTTAGTTCACATGACATATTGCAATAGTAGTATTGTATGACATCATTGCATGGCGAACATAATTGACATGCCTTAACGTGGAAATCATGACATGCATGTCATGTAAGTCCTGAATACACGCCACGCTCATGGTGCAGCTCGCGGTTGTTTTGCTAGCTTCATTTTATTGATTGATATGTGATGTTTAACGTCCAAAACTCACCGTATGATTATGGGAGACGCAGTAGTGGAGAGATCCGGAAATTTCGACCACCTGGGATTCTTTAACCTGCACACAAACCTGCGCACACAGGCCTACATCCATTTTTGCCTTCATTCAAAATGCAGTTGTCGCAGCCGGGATTATATCCCACCAGCTGCGGGTCAGCAGCCTAGTACCTTATTCACTATACCACTGCGGCGGGGGTTTCACTAGCTTCGCATATACCAAATTTGGTATTACGTGACGTGAATGAAGGACGAAGGTATACATGACTGGCGCAAACGTGATAATTACGACACGTGTGTCACGTAAAACATGTATACATGCTACATTGATAGGGGGCTCGCGGATGTTTCGCTAGCTTTATACATATGCCAATTATGGTATTAGGGGACGTAAATGGACGACATAGGTAAATCACACGTCCAAACGTGATAATTATGATATTCGTGTCATGTAAAACATGACTATATGGTACGCTCATAGCGCGCTCACAGCCGTTTCGCTGGCTTCTCATATACCACATTTGGTAATCCATGACGTGAATGGACGACGAACCCATATTTCAGGCGCAAACATTATAATATTACATGGAAGTCATTTACGGCATAATTTACGTCAACTTGTAAGGTTGTGTCGATTTTGAAGTCAGCTTCTTTTAAGATTGACCTTCTTCATTGATGCTTCGCATATCATCTATTGCCATTGTACGTGGGATCTGCCAATCCTTTTTTTAACGGCAGGAGTGGTCAGAGATTGTGCATTCACAAATATAAGGATGCGTGTGTAGGAACCTCATCACAACCGTGCGCATGGTTGTTTTTCTTTTAATTATTGCATGCTGTAAACTTAGAGGGACTGCCGCTCATTGTGTTGTGTTCGCTCCGACGCATCATGTTGTGTCGGCGGCACTTCGTCAAAGCAGATGCAACAGGCTGGAGCCTAACTGAAGGCCCCAAAGTGCGTGCTCGTTTTCTTGCAATTTCCTTGGGCGCCGGAGAAGGCGGAGCGCATCAAGTTTCTTGTCAGCGCACAAGACAAATGAACTGGCCCCTAGGCCGGCGACCACAGGAAGAGATGGAAACGTCACCGAAATGACCGCGTGACTGCCACGCGTTGCCTTACGTCTGCGCTTGAATGGATTTCATCCAAGCCCCAGCGCGACAGTAATGATGTCTCGCACTGATTCCGCCGTTCGGCCTCACCATTTGCTATTTGCTATTTGCGCAATCAGTGATAGCCACCCCCTCCCCCCCCCCCCCCCCCCCAAAAAAAAACAACACGCTGGTCGGCTTTTCGGCACCACGCGGGTGCCAGAAGCAGTCGTCACTCAGTGGGGTGCATCATGTAGCTCCAGTCAATGTGCGGGCCCTCGCACCCGAAAGCATGGATCACGTCGCGGTGCAGCAGATGCCCGCTTGGCGTCTTTGATGATTGTTTTTAAAGACGATAGTCTTTCTTGGGGACCTTAAACGGACAAATTTTCGGTCTGTCTGTCTGTCTGTCTGTCTGTCTGTACAATTGTTTGTTTGTCTGCCCTAACGATACCTCAAATGGCACCAAACGGCCAACTCCATCCGCAGCGCCCCAGAATATTGCTCAACGTTTAGCGTTCATAGTTGTGTGATTGTCAAGTAAAAAGCAATTATTGCGCATATCTGAGGTGCACAACAACGCTTCGATGTTTTGTATGTCTGCCTTTATACTAGAAGAGGCACACACAAGTAACTCTAAGGAATGTAGCGGTTATAGTGCTGCGCGGACAGTGCAACGCGATGCTCAGAAAGGTGTTTCCAACGCTTTGCTACGACGTCACGGTGGTGGCACCTGCCCATCGCTTGGCGTTCTACACCTTATTACCTCCGAGCCTGGCGCGCATCTTTCTCCGCGGGCGGCATGCCTTCGTTTTCGAAGATAACTGCCAGATGGCGCTTGTGTCTAACGTGCCTTGATGCGCTCGTTCACCTCCGCTACACGCTCCAGGCACTCTAACGCAGCACCTTCAGAATACCATTCACCGATTTTCTTGCGCAGAACATCAAATAAACGTTTTGTTGACTGTCTCCAGACGCAAGACTATCGCCTTTCGACGACATTTGCGGTGTAACATATAGATTTGGAACCAACGTTTTCGTTCGCACACCTTCGGCGTGTTAACAATTTCCGCGCTATTCTTTCCGGGCCTGTTCTGCGTATTCACGGTGGCTTACGTTACTTGTAAGTTTAACGCTTGGTGTAATGTTTTTGCGCGAAGAGAGAACAGCTTAGTGGCCCGATGGTAATCAGAACGACCTGAAATTCATCAGACAGTCCTTTTCACATGTCACCAGGTACATCCTTCTCATGAAAATATATCACTACACGTAATTTTAACACTACACAGTTTAGGTAGTTGTACGCCTGTCGAGCCTTCCCTTGTCGCTACTATCTTGTTTTACTTTGTTTTATTTGCGCCCTGTTGATGTGTTGTTTGCGGCGAAGAGCTTGAGCCCTCACGTGTGCACAAAAGTGGTCTCATTGTGGAGCGTTTGTTGAATTCCTGAATTGATTGTCCAATCCCAGGCAAAACAGCTGACTATTCACCAGCAGTGGTGTAAAGGAGGAGCATAGAGGTAATAATGAGTGACTTCAGTGTTTTCTTTGGGATTCTCAACTAGGCCTAAAGTGTTAGGCTCTATCGGCACCGGCAAACTCCACAGGGCCAGTCTGCAGACGACTTATTTCCAAAGTGTTTTTTTTCTATTTTGTAACATTTGTCTGTACCTCTTCCGCATACAGTTTCTTAATACAAGTTGTTTATTTTTATAAGCTTTACCAGCGTCTTTTACTCTTCAAGCTATTAGCGAATCCGTCACGGATATTCGCATAGCGGCAGTTTTCTCTTGTATTCGCACTGGTGGTGCCTCTATGACGCCGAGTGCGAAGGGTTGTCTTTTACTAATAAATAAACCCGAATTTCACTGCATGGATCCATATTTTTTTGAAAAGCCAATGCACAGTCAGAGTAATGTACCCTGGAGGTATGTGAATGAGGAGAAGATGTGCAAGTATCCGGATTTCTGATGTACTCCAGCATCGTCCAGGTTCCCGCCTTCATTGATATTGAAGTCGACGACACCTTTGCAGGCCTCCCACTAACATCATTGATACCAGCTGGGAAAAGTTTCAAGGTGTTGTCTGTCTTCTAAAGTGTATCTAATACAGAAAAGACATCCGCCACATCCCACAGGAAGCTTCATCACGTGTCGTCTGTGCTGGAAAACATGAACGATTGATCTGCTTCATATATTTTTAAACTATGTCGGAACGTCTCTATGCATGAGATAATAGTGAAAGCTAAACTTCATTCACATATTCGGCAGTGCTTGAGGGGCAATACGGTCAAAGGGAGATACAAATGGTAAGTTTTGGAAAGTTGAGAAACGGGGTGTATTGTTCATTGTAACGTACACATAGGAAGGCCCCTCAGGGTCCCCAGCACCCACCACAAAAACTGAGATTTAGCGCAAGAGCAAACTACCTTATGAATAAACGGAAGTGGAGTAAACAAAAGTTATTAGGCCCCAATGGGTCCTTCCCGGCTAGTCCCTCAGAACCTCATGGAAGTTCTTTGTGAGTCAGTGTGCGGAACATGTGCAACATTACCGTAGTTTTACCACGTCCAGAAACTACATCTCATGGTGACATAATAGGCAAGAAACTTGGCATAGAAGAGTGAAGGCTGGGAAGAAAAGGCAACACTACTTAGAAGAAGAAGAGCCAGGGAACAGTGGCACACATAGAATACAGACCATCCTTCTACTTCGTAGTATCTCTTTTTTTACAAGCCTTAGCTCTTGCATGTCAAATTTCAAACCAACTAGCTCCAATCCACTATTTTGAGGCAGTAATGGTTATATTTTTGTATATATGTAATAAATTTTTGTACCTATATAGCTTACATTTTCTGCATTCTTTTATAAACGCCTTGGGTTCTACACGTATATTTCATTTTATCCTTTCTTAGGTAGTGCGAAGTAGCACTGGTGTTCTTATTTTTTATTTCTGTTACAATTTTTTCATTTTTAATTTTTATACATTTGAAATAAAACTGTGGTTTGAGATTTGCACAGGTACACAGACCAATTCTGGTAATATTATTCTACACTATAGCATCAATAAACTTCGTTGGCACAAAAAGATAATTCATTGACAACACAAAAACAATGAATTTTCTGTGGTCCCGACAGCGTTAAAGAGGTTGTGAAATGGTCGCTTTACTACGACAATGTGGCACCATTGGCAGCTACGTGCGCTAACTATATCATCAACCCGAGTGTGGTTGTATAGATGCTTTGCTTATCGAGGAACGCGGAACTCCACGGCATATAGAGCGCACGCAAAAGTCGCTTATCGGTGTCTGCCATACGCGATACGCGTCCCACAATAACACTGCTTAATATGACGTAATTGTTCAAGTTAGCGCCGACTGCGTACGGAAAAGACGCTGATGGCACTCTAACGTACCGAAGAGTTGCGCGTTACTCGATAGGCGAAGCATTACTGATGATGACGACACCAAGTTAGTGCGTTTTGACGCCGGTGGTTTTGCATTGTCGCTTTAGAGAGAGCATTTCATGACTCCTTCAAGCTGCGATCCTCGGTATCCCTCGAACACTTTCTCTCGCAAGTAGAAAAGGCGGTGCTTGAAGTCATGCTCTCACCCTTGTACCTTGCACGGAACCGTACGGCGACGATAACGGCGACGGCAGAATTACTTCTAGAGTGTGCAAAAAGCTATCACCATAAATCTAATAAAAAGTAATCGTTCATACTCAACGTCCTTCCATGGCTTCCGCGGGGTCATGAAGCCATGCGAACGATAGCGTACTGCAGTACAACCTCTATGGTCTATGCGTGCTGGTGGTCTGCACATTTTTACCACTAAGTGAATGCTTCTGTACACCTACTGAACTTATCGTGCCTTTTAATAACTGTGCCTGGTTCTCAATGCCGCCAAATGGGTAGCTACTACACTGTGGATGACTCGAAGGTAAAAAATTTTGGTGCCTTATTCTCTTTTCAGTCTGTAATGGTTGCCGGCGGAATGGAAAGCATGTCAAACATACCGTACTACTTGGCTCGAGGAGAGACTCCGTACGGCGGAATCCACTTGCAGGTGAGTGACATACCTAGCTAGTCACAGAGGGGTGGCAGAAAGCTAACTTGAATTAATGCTTATTGTTGGCAAACAACAACTGCCTATGAAGTTTATAATTCAATATTGCCATCGCAAGCGCAACCTAAAAGACAGACGGTAACTCATTTTTTATTTCACAGAATTTTCAAAAACATTGAAAGTCATGTAAGGCGTTCATCGAGACATTGTTTGGACGCTGAGCTGTGCAGACGTGCATCCGCGTCGCTGCGGTCTTTTGAATCTGTGTGATCTCTTATGTAGCACCTTTAATCCGGATTTTTGTTTCATCGAGTGCATATCGTCCCCCTGATCACGAGGAAGTGCGGATTGTCGTCTCTGAGTGAGTTTTCGACAATTTTTGGCACTTTCTACTTTGCGCCCCTGAAGCCTAGTCTGACCTAGCTGGGAACGCCATCCACGCCGAGTGGCGTCGGCATGGCTACGCTTGCAATGGCAGCTAGCGCTTCGACGCCACTTAAATTCACTCCGAGCGTCTGCAACCCCATCGAAGGGGGCGAAGAAGGTGGAATGGAAGCAATGGAAGGAGCTGAATGGCAAGTGGTTCAATCTAAATCGGCCAAGAAGAGGCAAGCAGAGGAGAACGGGCTTGTCTCTGCTTCAGAACGCTTACAAGACAGCAGAAGCAGCTGCCGGGAGGCTGCCTTAAACAAGAGAGCGATCACAGCCTGGCGCATGCCCGAGCTACCTTCCACGCATCGGAAGATTATCGTCAGACCCCAAGATGGTCTGGAGTTACGCTAAACCAGTTGCTACGGCATCTTCGTGCACCACCATCTTTACGGCGGCCGGGATCACCGCCATTCAAACCTGCACCAATTTGGTCTGCCCCAACGTCATGTAAAACATCGTTGTGGTGTGCACCGAAAATGAAGACAACACTCGCAAAATCTTGGCTCTCAAGAACCTTCACGTCAACGCGAAAGAGCATGAAGTAGCGGTGTACGCTGCCACCGAAGGCAACTATGTTAAGGGAGTGCTCCGCAACGTCGAGCACGGCATCGGCGACACTGAGCTCGCAAGGCTCATCGTACACCAGGAAAATCCAACGGTTCGCGGTAGGAAACGCAATAAAGATACTGGCTCTGTCGTCGTTTTTTTTTCGATGGAGGAGACGTGCCAAGCTACATGAAAGTTGGCCAGGCAATAGTGCGGTGCTACCTCTACAAGAAGCAGATCGAGTGTGCAGCAAATGCACCCGCGTTGGTCATCGTGCGAACGTCTGCCCCACTCCAATGATCAGTGTTTGCCACAACTGTGGGGCCAAGGACCCAAAGCAAGAACACTCGTGCCAAGTGAGGTGCAAACTCTGTGGCAAGGGCCACTCTACTGGAAGCAAAGCCTGAAACAAAAGTACCAAATACCTCTTGTTATTCGACAGAGGCGAAAGGAAAAAGAAATAGAACGCACTTTCGACGTGGACCGGCGGGATTTCCCCACGCTCCAGGCCGGCCCACCTGGGCCGTTTTGAAATGGCTGGCTGCAGCGCTTCACCATACGATGTGGATGTGCGCTTCCCGTCACCGCAAAATAGGCCTGTAGCGGCGAGAGAAGAGAGACGTGAGATGACGTCGAAGGCGGCCGATGGGGCCGTGCCGATCTCGCCACTTTATTCCAGGCCTGAAGCGGAGCCACGTCGGCTACCAGCGTCCGCCACGCCAGGCGTGTTAGCTCGTTCTCATCCTCGCGCAGCTCGAGCTAGCATCAGCTGCGCGAGGCGCGCGGCGCGGTGATTGAGAAATGATGATGGTGATGATGGCACTACAGGGCTCCCCCCCCCCCTAGCGCTTTGCGCGATTTGAAGGCATATGAAAAAAAAGAAAGATAGTGATAAAAGCTATATACATGAACGACAATCCATAAAGTGTTCATTTGGAAAGTCCAGGTTGTGAACGTTGATGGGCCATCGGTAAGCGTGTGTCTCTGGTGGGCGACTCTGGGAGAAGCGCAAGGGACGAAGGAGGAAGTGCCGGGTCACTGTGGTAGCCGACAAGCGGGTCTCACGGTGACCTGGTCGGACAGGCCGAGAGTGGACCGTGTGTCGCGAGGTCATGACAGGATGGTGGGTGACAATGTTGGCGCTGGGTGCAGAGGACACTATACTGCCGCCTGTCGAGATTAGAGGTCCCGACAGGGCCCCATGATGGTGGTGGTGGTGGTGGTGATGGTGGTCATGCACCAGTATCTGCGGCTGGGTGAACGTCGGTATCTGCACCAGGGATTGGTGCTGGTCTGTCTGGAACGCACCCAGTGTGGGCTGGGCCAGCATAGTCTGCGTGGGCAGCATGGCCTGCAGCTGTTGCAGCGTCAGTGGCTGTCCCGGGACTATGGCAAACGAGGGGGGCGACATCATGCGTGGTGGTGCCAGAAAGATGTTGGGCCTTGGCCCCAGGTTCTGTGGGATGACAAGCGTCGGGGTGCCAGGCGGTCCTGGATGTCCCCCATGGGGCCTGGGCCCCGTCTGAGGTCCCAGGGTCAGGCCCGTGGCATGGGGTGGCCGCAGGGCCAGCTGGACCCCCTGTATCTGTCCCAGAGAGCTCTGGGTCTGCCCCAGTGCGCCTTGTATCAGAATCGGGCTGTGGCCCAGGCCCGGAATGTACTGGTTAAGCAGGAAAGTGCCCTGCGCAGGTCCAGCCGGAAACATGCCCGGCTGCGCTGCCGCGGGGTTCCCGATGAGCAGCGGACTCCCCGTGTTGAGCCCCATCGCGGCTCCCCGCTGCACCGTGGTCGCAGGCCGCAGCCTGTACAGGCGCGGGCCGCGGTGTGGCCTTGTGCTGGGCCGCCCGGTGAGACTGGGACCGGGTGGTCGCCGCTGCCGAAGGCGTAGTCATGTTCGCGCTGCCGCTCGACAGCTTGGGCAGGATCTGTGGCTGTTTCGGCTGAATAAGCCGGGGGGCACCAGAGGTGCGAGGACTGGGGCTGGCCGAAACCACCAGTGCGACGCCGGGTCTCGACGCAGGTGCCTGCTGCGGCGCCACGGGCAGAGGGGCGACGGTGGCAGTTGCTTTGGTGGTTGTCGGTGTCGACGCCGACGATGAGGGCAGGCTCTGGCTCCGCGAAGGCACGGCGCTGGGGCCCGTCGTAGACCACGAAACAGAGACAGAGACAGGGGCGGGGAGCGGGGACGCCGAGGGTAGTCGGCTGCTGGCCGGGGAGGTGCGAGTGGAATGTGGCGAGGCACCCGGCAGGCCATTGCTCGCACCGGTGGCAGGTGGCGGAGCGGCAGGGGGCACCGTCGAGGAGCTGACCAGCAGCTGCGGCGAGGAGGAGGCCGAGACGTCTGAGCTGGTGGCCGCGGAAACGGCGAGGGCCATGGTGTCGCGTGCCGTCGCTTTCGTGGAAAACGTGCAGGTGGCAGGTACGTGTGATGAAGCTCCGCACGGGGGCTCTGAGGGATTGTACCTCGTGGAGGGAAGGTCAGTCGCAGTGGGGGAGTCTTCTACCTCGCGGTCGTGATCAGGTGCAGGAGTGGATGTTTCTGCGACCGGATCAGGTGTAGAAGTAGTCGAAGCCGGGGTACCGAGGTAGCGGTCAATGGAGGGCTGCGGACCGGTTCGTACCTTGCTCTGCGACGCCGGGGAAACCTGCCTGGTGTGGGTAAATGGAAGCGGACGGTATGTGTTGCCACTGCGGGCGAGCACCGCAGTGCAGAGGGCATCGTAAGGCTGCGGGCTGGAGCTTGAAGTGGCAGCGAGATGGCGCAACTCTACCGGAAGGGCGTCGAGAAGAATGGCGTGCATCAGCAGCTGGTCCGTGATGCCATTCACCGCAAGAACGGCGTCGAGCTGCATAAACCATACCTTGGGGTAGGTCGATAGGAACGGCGGCACTGGCGGGCAGAGTTGCGGGAACATGGCAGCGGGCCGTTCGGCGAAGGGCGTGTTCTCCGGGTCACCAAGTAGCGGCGAGAGAAGAGAGACATGAGATGACGTGAGAATCCTCGCGCAGCTCGAGCTGCGCGAGGATGAGAACCAGCTGACACGTCTGGCGTGGCGGACGCTGGTAACCGACGTGGCTCACTTCAGGCCTGGAATAATGTGGCGAGATCGGCACGGCCCCATGGGCCACCTTCGACGTCATCTCACGTCTCTTCTCTCGCCGCTACAGGCCTCCAAAGAGAAGAGTAAAGAACCTTACCGAGCACAAGCTTGACCCTCTACCCAGGTAAGCGGGGTCACCACCACCTCTAAGGAGTCGGAGGAGATTAAGAAAGTCCGGAACGAGAACACGATACTCAGGTCAGAGTTAGCGGTGGTCAGAAAGGAATCAGCAATAATTACTTCGCTTTTTCAGCAGTGAGACCACATGGGGACCTAAATGGGGCTAATGGTCGGAAGCGCCGAGCTGTAGGTGATGTTCCCGAGATCGACGTAACTGAAAGTCTTAACCAAATCAAACAATCCTTGAAGCAGATTTTTTCGACGCTTCAAAAAATCACCGAAGAGATAGTGATTCGGAGGCACAGAATCGTTTTATGGATTCTCGCCTAAAGAATCTTGAACGTAGGATGGGCTCTTGGAGTCTCTGGCGCTCCCGACCAAATTATCGCAGTTTATATCAGACCCCACCGTTGTGGTGGAGCTTGTACAAAAGCATATAACGTGCCCTCAGAGCGATCCGAAGGCTCCGCCTTCTGCTAAATCTTATTTTCTAATCATGGCTGTGGTATCCAACACCAACTTTCGTGTTTGGCAGTGTGTGATGCATGGTTCTTGTTGCTGATTTGTTTCTCCCGGGCTGAGCCTCAGAGAGTTTTGTTAATAAGGACAAAGCCGTTCGGTTTCCAAGAAACACACAAAAAGTTTGATTGAAAAGAAAAAAGGCAAAGATTCCTCACAAAACAAAACACTTAATAAACAGTTGACTGGACATGGCGAAACACATCTGTAAACACCCAACAAAAACGTTCAAAGTCAGTAACTAAACCTAACGTTCGAAAGGGGCTGAGTGATGGGAGTAGC